AAGCCTCCTGCCGGCTAGCCCCACATTGAAGCACCTTTGTGCCCCAGCCAGCTCCTCTGCAGCATCTTGAGCCAGGTCAGAGCAGCCCTGGGCTGCTAGCCAGGGCTGTGCTGCCTTGGCTCAAAATGTTGTGGTCCCGGGCATGTGTGTAAATGCTGAGCCCAGGAGCAATAAACTCTGACATGAACTGTGCTGGAGTTTACTGTGTCACATTTATATGCATGTGCAGATCTGCTCTCTGTCTCTCTACTGGCAGCTTGGATAGAAGGTTCTGTAGGATAGAAAAGCCTCTATATTTCTGTTCTTTTGCTTTTTTTCCCTTTATCTTGTGCTTTCCCCTCTTTTCTAAAGACATTTTAATGGAAGTTTCAGGCAGTTCACAATGCCTTGCCCCACAGTGTGTAGCTGCCCCTATCCTATATTGGGTCTCAAATAAGGTCTGGAAAATGAAGAGGGAAGTCAGAAGTTTCCTCAGCTGTACAGGTCCCTTCCAGTTTTTCTTGAAAGGGAATTTGTTATGCTTCCAGCTGCTCAAAGGCTGCTCTCTCTCCCTGAAGACCTCACTCTTGCAGAGAGGCAGTACCAGAGGATAGATAGCCCCTGTTGCAGGCATTTTCAGTATAGCAGCTTTCACTTGTGGCAGTACTGACTTTTTCAGTCACAGGTGGCAAAAAGCTGCCCATCTGCCCCTAGTACATCAGAAAGTATGATGGTTCAACTTCTTCCAGCTGGAGTCTAAAGCAGAGCTCAGTTGTTGGTTCCGCATTTTCTAACCATCACCAGCCACCGCACTCTACAAGTCTCATCAATATTTCACATTTCAGCTAGCCTCAAGCTAAAGTCAGCAGTTAGTGACAGTATCATTTCTCAGCCTCCAGATCTGTATCTGGAAAATGCAACTTTGTGGAGACTCTTCTAGTGAGCTCCATTCACTGATAGCAAAAGACTCCCCATAAACCCTGGCATTTTTATGTTTTTTCAGACATTACAATTAAATTGACATCTCTTTCGCAGCTCCATAAAACAAAATCTAGCCTTTCTGAGCATCCTGACAGTGCCTCCAACACTTCTCTGAAAGTTATTTTCACACTTGAGTTAATGTTTTTAGTTAGAGTTAAAAACAGTCTGCAGGGCTGTGAAATAGGAGCTACATTACCAGGAGCAGTCAACAAACAGCAGAACTGAAGAAGAAAGCCTAGTTTTATTAGTTGAACTTCAAGACAATTTAAAAAGAAAGGCATTAACATCCACAAAATGAAAAGTTTCAAGGAATCGAATAGATCATAACCAGTCATGAAGTCAAGTGACTTCCTCACTGCTCCCTGAATAACAGTACTGCTGCTACTGTCAAGCTGTTTGTTTTAAGCCTTGGGTAGACCAGGAATCAAAGGAAGATGCAACTGCACCCTCACTGGATCTGCCTCCTCCCTCTTTATACAGTCCATATTCCATTTACATGGTCTACTGGAGTAGAATTATCTATCTTAATGCATGTGTCCTACTCTCCATAAGATTTACAAACTTTGGAGCCCAATTTTTGGTCTTTCAGGCCTCAGACCAATGTCAAGTTTTGTTCATTCCTATCCAAGAGCTCTCTCTCATGATTCTCCTTCCCTTATAGAGTCTGGGAAGTCCCCATCACAGGAAGAAAATAATTAAGGATACATGTTTCAGTTCTCTGACAGGTGACCCCTAGTCCTGTGGTGTGACTCCCCAGATGAATATCTTCAGTCTCCAATTTAATATTACCCAGCCCTCTATTTGTCTAATCAGGGAAAATCCAAAACCGCTACTACTAAGCCAACCAAATCAGAAAAAAGTATCTTCATCCTGGAATTCACACACATCACTGTAGTTAGAAACAAAAAAATTACAGAACAAAAGAAGAAGGATCTTTAAATTCAAGAAAGCCTGGATCACGCTTCCTTTCCAGCTACCAAATCAGACTATTTGACTCTGACCCACAGCATTTAGAGGAGGAAATCCAGAAAAAGCTGTTTCCTCCAGTTCATGTTGACATACTGTGATGTGAAATAATTAGTATTCTGGAATTCAAACCTGACC